ATACGTATTCCTGACAATGACCATGTCTGCATTTAAGTAACACTTGGGTAGAACAAAAGCAATGTTATGCTAAAAGAAGGAAAGTACATTTATAGCTCACAGAAATGACAGCACTGCATTCAAGTAAAAGATTACAAAAGACAACTCTCTTCTGGCTTTCTGTATAGAAGTATCAATATACTCTGCAACCACACTTTGCACGTAAGCTTCCATAGCTCATCTTTGTTTAAAAAGTAAAGATTGTTAGTATTTTACAGAAGTGTTCCATGAGTATGTTATTAGTGAAAACTAAACTACCTTTGAGCCATATTTAGCCTAACTTGCAAAGAATCTGTCCATGCATTCTGCTGCTGAAACTAAGCAGCAAATTAATATAATTAGGGCTATGATTTTATAAAATGTTGTGAAGAGGAAGGCTGTAATCCACAAAAGCTCTCATCAAAACAGATCTTGGTCTTATTAAAGGTGCCACAATATTATTGTTTCTGTTTTTGTGATGTATGCAATGAAGTATTTTAGCATTTGTTGATACATTTGTCTTCAAAACCTGAGGTGAATAATTCTACAATTTCCTATGCATTATAGTTCATTTGTATTATCTATGAAGTCAAAGAAATTTCAATAAAGAGATCAAACAATTGAGTATCATCAACAAAACTCTAAATAATATTGGGTCCCTACTTGTATGACAAACTACATCTGAAGCATGAAGTGGTGGTTGGGGTGAATCCTCTATCAACATAATACCATAAGCAGGAGCAGGATCTGCCTCTATACTTGCCAGCGGTAATCGACTAAGGGCATCAGCAGGTCCCAATGCTTTTGTTGGACAGTGACATAACACATAATCATATGTTGCAAGAAACACAGACCAATGCAGCATCCGGAGAGACAATACTTGAGGCGTCTGTCAATCTGAGGCAAAAATTCCTAACCATGGTTTGTGGTCCATAACAATTTCAAATCGCCGGCCATACACATAATCTTGACATTTCTTTAGTCCTGCAACAAGAGCAAGCACTTCCTTATCAATTTGTGCATAGTTTTTCTTAATCACCGATAAAATCCTCGAAAAATACAGCAGTACCTCGGTTACGAAATTAATGCGTTCTCCAGGACATTTCGTAATGCAAAAAATTCACAAACTGAAATGCGGTTTCCCATAGGAATGCATGCACGGGGGGGTGCGCTGTAAACCTCCCAGGCACAATGCAAACTTGCTTCGTATTTGCGGGGAAAAATCGTAAATTGGGGCATTATTTTCAATGGATTTTAATTCGTAAACCAAAAATTACATTAACCGAGGAATTTGTAAACCAAGGTATGCAATCAGAGCTTCCTGCCCATTAGACATACTCAACATGGTGCCTAATTCATATGGGGATGCATCACATGCTAGGACAATCGATTTCCTTTCATTAAAACGAGTGAGCATGCTTTCAGGAGACAACAGGTTTTTTACAGCCTCAAATGCCTCATTCTGCTTCCAGTCCCATGCCCAATGGGTCTTCCTATCCAACAACCAATGTGGCTCAGCCACCAAAGGTTGATGGGGTAAAATGCATAGTAAAAATTTAAAAGTCCCAAAAATGAATGAAGTTCCTTTTTTGAACGTGGCATGGGGCATTCCTTATTGCTTGTATTTTGGTGTCTGTGGAATGGACACCCCGCTGCATCTATCAAAAACATGAGAAACTCCACCTCTGACACCCCAGACTGACACTTTTCTTTTTCAGTCTTCAGTCCTGCATCCTGTAGGAGGCCCAGGACCTCTTGGAGACAGACAGTTCCCCCACTGAACCTTCCCCCACCAGAATATCATCAAATTATGGAATAACTCCAGGAATTCCCTTCAGTAAACTCTCCATTAAACTTTGAAAAATTCCTGGGGCAACACTTACTCCAAACTGCAATCGCTTGATCTTAAACGCACCCCGGTGAGTCACTATTATATGAGTATCTGCTGTGGCATCACCTGCTGGCAATTTTTGATATTCCTAGGCTCGAACCAGTTTAGCAAAAACCCTTCCCCTGCCAATGATGCCAAGAAATGACTTACTACTGGAATGGGGTTTGCGTGTTGTTGTAACGCCTTATTAATAGTACACTTATAATCTGCACAAATGCACACCATACCATTTGCCTTCAGGGAGGTCACAGTTGGGCTTTCCCATTGATCATGTGACACTGGTTCTAATATTCGCTGCATGATCAGCCAATCTAATTCCTCATCTATTTGGGGCTTTAATGCAAATGGACTTCTCCTGGCCCTCAAACACCTAGGTACTACAGCTGATACTGGTGGGCCCTTATATAACCTCAATGAATCATCAAATATACTGGGGAACTCCCAATAAATTGTTTCAGCATTTAACTGGTCTACTTGATGAACACCCAGCACTGTAATGCCCAATGGCTCAAACCAGTCCAAGCCCAGCAGGTTTGTCCCATGTCCTTCCACAACAAAGAGCTGCAGGAGGCTGCTGAACCTCTGATAGTCCACTCAAAATGCCCCAATCCCTGCTACTGGAACATGCCATCCCTGAAAGTCTATCAGCTATACTGGTAGTGGTTCCAAGCACTGATTCCCTTTCACTGTACAGATCCAACGAAAAGTCTTTCTTTAAATTAACAACAGGGCTGACCCTAAATCAACCTCCCTTTCATATGGGACCTCTTGAAAGTACACTGTTACTCTAGTTTTTTCACGTGTTTGCATTTGGACACTCTGGATGAGGCCAAGATCAGAGTGATTAATAACAGAATGACACTCCTCCACTGAATGTCCTCCCTTCCATTCTTCCTGTGCTTTATGTTGTGACAGGGAGGCTTTAATAGTACTAGACCAACAACAATGGGCAATATGACCCAGCCTGCCACATGCCCTGCATTTCACATCATGGAAATGGCAGGACCTCCTCTCACACTGGCCTCCCCAGTTTGTACATCCTGTCCCATGAGGCAGTTCATTCCTTTTCACTTTCTGTATCTTAGTCTGATGTACTTTCCCTTCCTCTCCAGAATTATCCTCCACACTCCCCTGAAGGACTGGCTCAGCTTTCCATGGCGGGAGTGATGTGCGTGTCATGCGGTCCTAATGCATTGATACGTCTGCTGCCTCCACTGCCACTACCTCCTCCAGACCTATATTAAAGGTCAGTTCCTTCTCAGCAAACAAACACTACTGCAGTTTCTCATCCCCCAGTCCACACACCAGCTGATCCCTCAATGCTGTTTCTAAATCTGTAAATTTACAGTGCATGGCTGCTTGTCGCAAATCTGTTACAAATCCTGTGATCGACTCTCCTTGTGCTTGGTCCCTTTTATAGAATAGATGATGGCAAGCTATTTCAGAGGGCTGAGGTGAAAAGTGATTCTTCAATTTCTCTTTAACAACATTAAACAAGGTTTCCTGCAGTGACACTGGTGCAATAAGTGCCCTGGCAATTTCAAAAAGTTGCCGCCCACAAACACTAAAAATGTAGCCGCCTACAAGGCCACATCTGTAATTCCCTGAGCAGTCAAATAAAACTCGAAGTGTGTTATGTAAGAGTCCCAATCTTTGGCTGCTTCATCAAACGGCTCAAACTGACCCCTGCTAGCCGTTATCTCCGTCATGTCGCTTCTCGGGTGGGGCACTCACTTCAGTAATTAAAGCTATCTCCCTTGTCACATCCCACCTTTGTCACCAATATTAAATAGTGGATTCATAACTTCAAGTCATAAATTAGCATGCCTTTATTCAGCATTCCCAGTCAACAAGATAAGTACAAGAATGCTTAGTAAAACATACATGCACATTTATACAACACTCACCCAAGGAACCGCCCCACTCCCACTAATTTCCTGCATCTGGCCAACAACCCAACAGCACAGGCAAAAACCGTTCCCACTCCTACACTCACTACATAACAGTTTTCATTATACTATAAAACAGTATCAAAATATAGGTACCAAAGCTGAGTTTGAAGCACATATTTTCCTACATCTGTAGTCTGTTGGGCATTTGAGCATGCACATGTGTGTGGATAGCATGCATATAATTTTGGAAGCTTCCATCCATTAGAAGCCTTGAGGGACATGTAATTATTACAAAGAGAAGTTAAATGAGAAACTAGTTTAGCCCTGCAAAGGAGTGACACAAATGGCCCAGGTGACAGTTGCTGGAGAGCAGCAGCAACAACCCCCAGCTATTCCTCATGAGTCTCTCTCTTAGATGATAGAGCTGTAGGTAAAGAACCCTGTTCTATAGCCCACAAAGATTCCAGTCTCATAACCCGATAAGGTTTAAGCAGTGGAAAGAAATAGCTTTGTCTGAGAACGTCTAAGTAAGACAAGGTCTCAACATCCCACTCCAACTCATCCACCTCCTCTCTGTTTTAAATCCAAGTGTTCTAAAACAGGACAACCAATGTATCTACTTTCTCCATGTGCACATCAGTACAGAACAAAGCCAAGAGATTTTTAGTCTTCAGATGTTTTGGCTGCAATGTCCAAAAGGCTTTAGCACAAGCCACGGTGGGTGTGGTTGATGGGAGCTGTAGGCCAAAGCCCCTGGAGAGCCAAAGGTTTCCCAATCCTGATATACCACCTGAGGAACCAACCACCTTGCCAGCAGTTTCGTGGGCATTGGATCTGGACTAAGCTGGATGTGTTAAGGATCAAGCTATTAAGGAGAATTCAAGGCTGCCGTTCTAAACATACATGTGTGGCAATTGATTCCATTGAAATCACTGTGTCAATGTGTGAATAAAGGACTAGGTGCAAAACTCTGTTTTTCAAGTTATAATTAAGTTGTAATAATGTTATTATCCCTCATTCAATGCCACATTGTATAAGAGAACACCATTGTCACATAATTATTCCCTGTAACTTTCCCCACTAGATTTAAGGTGCCAATCACTACACACAGCAAACTATGGTGGCTAACAAAATAAAAATAAGAACAAAACTGAATGGTTTTCTTTATATTAGGAACAGCCAGTGCTCATTTTGTTTACCTGATTAAAAGTTTGGAAGATGAATTCTTTGTATATAGCATCCCTTTCGGTGGCTTCAGACCAACCAGCAGCTTTGAGGTCATATAAAACTTGATTCCTTTCTTCTGTTGTCAACATGTGAGACTTTGAAGACTAAGACAGAAAGGGGAGGGGGAAATGAAAATGAATTCAAAAACCAGTTTTAAAGTTCTGCTCCATTTTTTTTCCCAAAAAAAGAACATATCCAATGTCATGCTGAATTTTGTTCGCAAAAAAAATGCTGCAAGACTACACTAATAGAACAGGTATCGCATTAGTTCATTGTATGTGTGCCATGGGGGGGGGGGAAATATTCATCCATTTACAGCCTCTAAAACCGACATATTACAGGCTACTATCATTAATTCAGCAAGAACCAAGTGGTACTGAATAGTCATTATTGTCTTTGAGTAAGGACACAGAAGATTGCACCCACTGGTGTTCTAACACCGAAAAGACAGGGATAGACAATGTGTATCGGCAAAGCATATTGTGCGCTGAAATGTAAGATACATTTGAATTGCACTAGTTTCTCCCACTGAAATCAAAAGGACTGTGAGAAGCCTTGTTGATTTCAGTGGGGTTCTTTATCCATGATCAGAATCCAATGGTGTACTTTTGCTAGAATCCATTCTTTCTCACAGGACCAGTAATTACTAAAACACACACACACACACATCAGCTCTCTGTGCTTATGTATGGTTGCCATAAATAAAAAAACTTGTTAGGGAAGAATGGGGAACTTTCTGAAGCAGGTTTTTAGGACCCATGCAAACCAACAGCATGCTGGTAGATAGCTCAGTAAGTTAGGTACCCAGCTACAGAGTCAGAGGTTGGTACTTTCATTCCCAATTGTGCCTCCTGGGAAAACGGCCAGCTTGTGTAGCCTTGGGCAAGTTGCACAGTCTCAGAATGCCTCCAGAAGAAGGGGTAAAACACTTCTACCTACTCTATGCCTAGAAAGTCCTGGCAAGAGTTGCTATAAATTGGAAATTACTTGATGGCACACAGTTAAGCCTGCAACAGAAGGGAGAGAAGAAACAAGCCCTATTCCTTAGGCCTTGGATATAAAATAGACCATTGGATCTTGGCCCAAATCTTTTGTTCTGAACCAAATACGTGTTCAAAATTAAGCATATTTCACAGTGGGACTTCCGTATCCACATGATCGGTATCTGTGTTTTCACTTATCCATGGTTTGCCGCAGCCCTATGTACAACGCACATAAAAATAAATAAATACAAGGATCTCCCCATGTGGCCTTTATATAAGAGTCCCCTTGTATCTGCTGTTTCAGCCATCCATGGTAGATCATGAACTGATCCCCGACCCACCCCACCCCCTACAGTACATGTTCCAAAGCACCTCTATGGTAGTATTATAAATGGGGAATATTGCAGGGTGATTTAAAATTGAAAAGTGATAAGCTTTAAATTAAGATAAAGGGAAGACTTGCACCAGTTCTGTATAATTCTATAATTATATCTTCAGCTTTCTTCCCCAGAAGCAAAAAATACCTTTTAAAAAACAAAATGCAGCAAAGATAATCAATGGAAATAACATTTTGGGCCTCAGTTCATAAGATACTACTGATCCACTAACCATGACAGATGAGCAGGAGCAAGCTGCTGGTCTCGATGCCCCTTCTTCCTAGTTAAGAAGCAGGGAACTGCAACGCCCATCTGCCCTCACCAGCTAAGTCAGAGGTGAGGGATTAGAAAAGCTTCCCGAGAGTCACAAGTTCTCCATCCTGATCCAGGCCTCCCCATTGTGTTTCCAGTTTCCCCTTTAGCGTTCAAAATTTTTCCAAATTTAAAATAAAATGTAAAACTAAGGACTAACATTTTACTATAATTGCATAAGCTCTCAGGGAACTGCCGCCCACTACATCAGATGCTTCTAACAAAAGGAGTTGCTGTCCACAACAGTTTATATCAAATAAAATGTCTCTATCTTTAAGGTGCCACAAAGTAGTTTTGCTATAACCATCTAATATGGTTCCCCACCCACCACTTAAAAACTAAGGACTGCATTTCTGGGTTAAGAGCAAACTCTGATTAGCACTAACCATGACTAAGATCAGTGCCACCATAACAATTACCAATAATTAAAATTAGGAGGAGGTTCATTTGGGAATCTATATTCCTAAAACACATCCCACTAGTTAGGATTAAGGAATCTGAAGTGTTATGTCTGTATTTTAACTTTTATCATACACAGGAAGAAGTGGCCTAATACTACAAAAACCTAGGCCACAATTAATGTGTGCCTAAGACATATATTCTAAGGCAGTGGTCAGGGAACAGAGGCAAATTACCTCAAATGGGGTAAAAATGAAAATCCTGGGGGTAATGAGAATGAGCAGAGCCCTAATATTGATGCTCTCATATCCAAGATGAAGCAACATCACTTCTCCAAAATCTGAAGTTTTCAAGTAAGTTGAAGCTTTCAAAGTAATTTTCAATAGATTTAAGAAGATTTTGAATTCAAATAATGTATGATTTCCTTCCTTTCAAATCAAGGGGGTAATGGCGTATATAAATTTTTTGGGGGGGGGTAAAAGATAAAAAAGTTCCCTGATCCCTGTTCTAAGGCATCTCAATAATTCCACTCTTGGTCTTAAAACAAGCTAAATATTCTAGAAATGTATTTCTAGCATAAAGGACATTTGGAACATTGTATTATTTAAAAATTATTATTACCATAGTTGAAAAAGCAGAATGGCCAGTGCCCATATTTTTTGTCAAACAGAACAGTTTTACTGCATGAATTAAGTGTTTTACTGCATGACTTTACATGAGTTAGCCTATCATAACCTTACATGCTGTTTCCAAACTACAGGGAGCAAGTACTTGCTGTGATGTAGCCCGAGCAACAGCACCATTCCACACCGAAACATTTTCTTGCCTTTTCGCTCTAATGCAGATAGAGCTGAAAAATTAGGGACACAGAGTACTGCCAAACTAGGGAAGAAAATATTTAGAGAACCAAATTTAAGATGAACTTTCTGATTATTTTTTGTCTCTTGTCCCCAAAATAAAGTACTGTACATTTGTATTACATTCTTGGTAAACTATTTATCTCACAGGTGTCCTCGCTTGTTTGTTCGTTTAGTCCTGTCCGACCCTTCGTGACCCCATGGACCAGAGCACACCAGGCCCTCCTATCTTCCACTGCCTCCCATAGTTGTGTCCATTTCATGTTGGTTGCTTCGAAGACACTGTCCAGCCATCTCATCCTCTGTCATCCCCTTCTCGTCTTGCCGTCACACTTTCCTAACATCAAGGTCTTTTCCAAGGAGTCTTCTCTTCTCATGAGATGGCCAAAGTACTGGAGCCTCAGCTTCAGGATCTGTCCTTCCAGTGAGCACTCAGGGTTGATTTCCTTCAAAATGGATAGGTTTGTTCTCCGATTGCCAAAGTACTCGAGCCTCAGCTTCAGGATCTGTCCTTCCAGTGAGCACTCAGGGTTGATTTCCTTCAAAATGGATAATTTTGTTCTACTTGCAGTCCAGGGGAGTCTCAAGAGCTTCCTCCAGCACCACAATTCAAAGGCATCAATTCTTCAGCGGTCTGCTTTCTTTATGGTCCAGCTCTCACTTCCAATGGTATCATCTGCATATTGGAGGTTGTTGATATTTCTTCCGGCAATCTTAATTCCAGCTATTTTATTTATTTAACAGTAGGACATCTACTGTAGGGCAGTGCCAAAGAATGCTCCAACTACCGTACAATTGCACTCATTTCACACGCTAGCAAGGTTATGCTCAAAATCCTACAAGGTAGGCTTCAGCAGTTTCTGGACCGAGAACTCCCAGAAGTACAAGCTGGATTCCGAAGGGGCAGAGGAACTAGACACCAAATTGCTAACATGCACTGGATTATGGAGA